TGGTCGTAGCAGGTTCCGCCTGCTCGTAGTTCTTCACAGTGTCCGTGCCGAGCACAGACACGTCACCTTGGGCCACATTCGCGTGCGGGCTCTCGCTCTCGCACGTAACTTCACTGTGTCAGTGCTGGGCACTGACATATCTTCTTCTGAGGCATCGGGCTGCATTGTGCGGGCTCTCGCTCTCGCTCTCGCACATGTCCTTGCAACTGATATGTCCGTATCTGTTGTCTTCTGCGGTTGATCGACATCAACCGTAGCGCCCCTCCCCCACTTAAAAAGGAAGACACCCGTCTTTCTTACATCGTAAAGTAGATGTGCAAACGGTACTAGTGTGCACTTGCTCGTAAGTGAGAGGTCACCTTCAGACGTACCATGTCGGAAGGAGCTGAGAGAAACTCGATCAGCTCTTGCGTCTGCGCCAAGCGCAAACACAGCCTTCTCGGTGAAAAATTTATTCGGTCGTCGCGCCAACACGTGTGCGACGTCATGCGGGTTTTGTGGACCCGGAAGTCGTACACCAGGGGGAGACAACCATCTCGCCCGAAGGACGAGATGTGCGGCGACTTCATCGTTGCCCACAACGTCGCCTAGTCGGTATAGACCACGAACGACGTGTTGCCGAGTCATCGCACTCGGCACTTCTGGGATGTATTCTGCATGACAAGGGTTTCTTTGTCATGCACTGGATCATCAACACGCATCCGATCGGGAAATCGGATGTGTACGGGAAAAGGGACGATCTTGGACAACCACTGCCAAGATCGGCGCAGCAGCCAAGCCCAGCTTGGCCGCATCTAACGGCTGCGACCACGCAGCGGTTCATTTCCGTGCGCGTTTCTTCTTCCCGTCCACAGCCCGGCTGTGAACGAGTATCATGTAGAAGCAGTTCGGTGCGAAGTCGTGCACCGAACACAAGCAATGCATCGCGCACCTTGCTTGATCCCGCGACAGTAGCCGCTGTCGCGTCGGGATACTTCTTCCGCGGGAGTCCCGTCCGAGAGCACATCCATGTGCTCTCGCAGAATCTTGCAACTCTGCTCGTTGTAGCGTTCCTGCTTCGTCTTGCCACTGAAAGTATCATCACTCTCAGTGGGGCTTCCAGCGAAGAGTTGGCCCAACTATTCTGCTTCACTTGTCATTCTTTCGCAGTCCAAAAGAATGCATAGCTGTTCGATGCGTCCATCGTACAGGTCCTTTGCGAAGCGCTTCCAGCTCATGACTGGAAGCGAGATCAACTCCGACG